TCTGCTCGCATTCAACTGTTATTTTCTCTACTTTTTCGTGAACAAGTGGGTCATTTTCTTGAAAAAAAATCTACATTTTAAAAGCATAGCCGGTCTTTATGCTGTAGAACTTTTGCATTGACAACTTTACATGGAAAGCAGAACGAAATCAAAACGAGATCGAATTTAGACAAAAATTCTTCTTTTCCAGAAAAAAACAATAGTCAAATGAAGCTAAAAATGAAGTTATTGGGTTGGGGAGAATGAGTCGGCGCCGAAAATCAAAAAAATGTCTAAAACTTCTAGCAGACTTCGTTAAATAATATGCGTTTGATATCAGTAGAATGGTTAACTAATTCTCTACAAAATGACATTTAAAAGAAAATTCAAACAGCGCCTCCGCTCAAGAAAAAGCCATTTTTTCACAAAAACTACAAACTGTCATCTAGAAAAAACCATTGGTGGGATCTTCCTGCAAATTTGGCAACTTAAGTAATTGAATGTGCTCTATCTTTTTTATATAAACACCAAAGAAGGTTTATGTGAAAGAAACTGTTCAAATGATGAGTCGGACTCTTTGCCATTTTAACCAGCTGCGTTTGGAAGTTCATAAACTCCACGAAAGAAAAGCTTTGTGGAATCTCTCAAAAGTCATTTTGTAGAGAAATAGTGGATCATTTTGATGAAACCAAACGTATGTTTAAAGAAGGCTTTATGTGTGCAAAAAAGTCCCTTTAAAGTTTGGCGCCGACTCATTCTCCCCAACCCAATAAAAGGGCAATTCATAGCGTGCTCTTATATATCGCGTGCTCTTATATATTGCGTGCTCTTATATATTGCGTGCTCTTATATATCGCAGCCGCTCGTGATTTTCAGCCGCTAGTGATTGAATCACCATCGACTAGCCGCTAGTGATTCCATCACCATCGACTAGCCGATGGTGATTCAAACACTAGCGGCTGGAAATCACGAGCGGCTGCGACATTTAAATCTTTATTTAAAGCTTTCACCGAAAAACGTTTAGCATCGTGAGCGCGGTATGTTTTCGAAAACGACGAATTGATCGACTTCAAATGACGACCATCACCCAAACGACTCAAAACGCATCGAGTTAGCATCTATCGAAAATTTGTCTATCTTTTCCTTACTCAAATTATTGACAAAGCTTCACAGGTAAGTCAAATCGTTTCTATATAATCATCTCTTAAGTTCTCTTCATTTTTTTGCATAAGTGAAGCTTGCCAAGTACCGTAAAGATTCTGATAAAAAAGCCGGGTTTTCTAGTTTTCAATGTCTCAATTCTTTTTCTATCCTAGCAGTATATCCAATTTTTTTAAAGAGCTCAAAGATTGGTGTTTTTGTTTGATTTTTATCCGCTTTTCGATGTCATTAAGCTTTTTTTAGTCTATAACTATTTAAAGCCCTTGGAAGGTTTTTAAAAGTTAAGAATTTTGCTATGTGTTCATTTAAGAGTCTTTTCTTATCTTTTTCCTCTTTCCGCTTGTCATTTCTTCGACTCTTTTCGGGAACGAAAAGAGCAAGTATTTTACAATAACCAAAATAAATAGAACATTTCACAGGACCATGGTAATTGTATTTTTACTATCTATTTATGATTTTTATTTATGAATTCTATTTATGAATTCTATTTATGAATTCTATTTATGATTTCTATTTATGATTTCTATTTATGATTTCTATTGGTTAACAAGCTTTTCGTTTCCTTTATTCTTTTCCTTGTGAATTATAAAAGGAAATTCTACTAGGAAAATTCTACAAGGAAAAACTTTTGATTAAATAGCCCTGAATTTCAGCTATTTTGATAACTGCGCGCGTATTGTAGCATAAACCAATGTCGAGAAAAACTCGTTCAAAGCTAGACTACGCAATACTCCTCGCCGTCATTATGGGGGTGCGGTACTATTACAGTATTTACGGTAAGTATTAGAACGAAAATTTTTATCTAAAAAATGATAAAGAAAGCGAAAAGAAAAAGTGAAACAAATTATCATTTACCTTTCGGACTCGCTCTTTGGACGATATTCAACGATATTTAAAAATGTGATTACTCTAGAAACAGACTCTAATCATGGCTTTTTTTTGCAGAATACTCAATAGGGAATCAAGTGAGCAAAATTTATTGAAAGAAAGTTTAATGAAACAAAAAGAAATTGGAAATAAAACCGAGTGTGCATGGGAAAATCTCTAGTTTCCGCAATTGACTTTTGACTTTTTTTTGCTGAATGACCTCGAGTGAGATCACCAAACAGTGATCTAAGTTTTCTCCATTACTTTTTCCCAAAAAATTGGATCCTTGTTGTATTATGTGGGTGATAAAGTAATGGTTTGATTTGTCACAACTTGTCTAACTAAATTTTAATAATAACTATTCAATCCGGACTTGGCTAAGGTGTAGGATTCGAAGTTTTTTTTGATTTTGTTAAAAAACAGTAAATGGCTCTTTGTTCAAAAGAATATAATTTCCGGAATCGTTTCCGGAACCGAAATCCGAATCAAAATCCGAACCGTTTCCGGAATCGAAATCAGAATCGTACTACGTATTTGAGAAATCAGTATCTCGAAAAAGACCTTCCAAAAAAAACCGGATTTGGCTAGCCACACTTTTTGTTTTCTGGATGCTAATCTCGACAATGTCATTCAGTCTGGAAAATGTCATAGCTCAACGAAATGCCAAAATTCTTCTCAACTCAAGTTAAAAATTATCGCAATTTTTGAAAAACTGCAATTTTTCTAGCGAAAAGCAAAAAGTTTGCCCCCATGCAGGATTGAACTACAGACCTTTGGTTTACAAGACCAACGCTCTACCACTGAGCTATAGGGGCGACGGGACGGATGCCGGGAAAAGGGTTTTTCTAAAAGGCCGTTTACAAATTTGGCTGAATCGGATGAGCAAACAATTTCTAGTGATTAAAGGGAGAAAATGGAGAAAAATGATTAGACAAAAATATAATAAGATGATTACGTTTACTTTAGTTTGATTCGTTGAATGAAATTTTGTATTTCTTCAAGATTCAGCTTGAATATGATAAGGACTAGTGAAATTTCGGTCAAAAAGTTGTAATTTATAGAAATAACATCAGTTTGTGACTAAAAAAGTTAAGTTTACCAGCAGAATCTTAAAAAAAAATAATTACAAAATGAAATTCTTTTCATTTTTCATCCTTTTTTTCGGTAGTCTCTCCTATTTGAACCAAAATTCATCAATTGATGAGCGAAAAAGGAAAAAGAAAGGCGGAAAAAGACGAGGCAACACTAAAACAAAGCTAACTCATACAACACAGCCATTCCACAAATTTCCATCAATAATTGGGGTCGATTTTCAGTGATAGAGACCTAACAATGATAAAAAAAATAGCTGTTTATGATATTGCTGGTTATTTGTTTGAAAATTCAAAAATTTTTGGATGAAACTAGTAAATTTTTGACTAGTTTTAGCGAAGTTTGGACCCGGGTTCTGGTCTATATGCTATTTCAGATTTGATATCATTAGATAAATTAGATAACTTAAGCTTTTTTTTATCATTTAGATCAATTAGAGTTCGATAGCCTAGTCAGCGCCTCAAACTTGAAACACTCTTTCACAACTCAGATTTCCTGAAAATTTTCTGAAATTTTCGATTTTCAATGATAGAGACCTAATAATGATAAAGAAAACAGCTTTTTATGGAGGAAAAATGCTGGTTATATGTTTGAAAACTCGAAGATCAAAGGTTGTTTCGTAGGTAAATTTCATGTTACTAATTCTATAAACTACTTGTCACTAACCACAAAATTGAAACATTCATTTCTTAAGAATCATATTTTGTACTTGTTTTTAACCTTTTTTTATATACACTAGAATGAATTTTTTTAAACTTTGATCTTTTGAATAATTTAAATACTTATAAAGCCGGGGTCTTCATTGGCGTGCCGATGATTTCTACCATAAAAATCGTATCGAATTCACCATCTGAAAAAATTGAACTTTCAAAAAATAACATTAATATTTCTAATCAAAATTTCAACTAAAGCCTTAATTTTATCATTTCAGCTTGTGCAAGAAGTTGCTGGGATCTGATCTGATCTGATTTATTTGCCGACTCTTCTTTGGTGTCTATTTCTCAACTTTGAAACTCGTTAAATTACTTGAGAGATAAATTTTCTCAAAAATTCCATAAAATGTTCTGTGGTAATGTTTGAATTCGTAGAATTGTATTTGTTTTGAATTTACGGGCTTAAAAATGTGAAACTCTTTTTTACAAGTATTTCAAAAGTTTAAAACGAACAAGTTTAAAGATATCTTAAAAAGATAAAAGATTAATCAAATTTGAATCTGTTGAATTGAATTTGATTAATCAAATCAGAATAATCAACTTATTTAATCATACTATAGTAGAAAATAGATATAAAGCTGTTCATTTGTTGGTCTCATTTTCAATGTACAACAGAAAAACGAGATTTAACCACTTCGGCGGCTTTTTAAATGGGTTTTTGTGTTTTTAGAGCTTGGAAAATGCAAGCTTTGTGTAGAAAGAAATCTCTGAAAGAGTTTCCGTTGAAGTGGAATGAATTTCGTAATATTTTACATCGCAAATCTGCTTAATCTGTCACAATGCGCTGAAACTGACATACCTATCTGAGATTTTGAGGCAAACTTTAAAACTAGCTCTGTATTTGAGTCACATTTGCCTATCCAGGAAAATAATTATGACAATCTGATCGACAAACAGGTCTATATTCAACATTCAAAAGATTTGTATCAAAAAAAATCACCAATTAAGTGATTCGTGGCTCCCATAGGGTTGCTTAAATCGAAACTTTACGTTCTTTTCTTTGTTTGTTTGTCTGTTCATTTGTTTGTTCGTTTGTTTGTTTGTTTGTTTGTTTGTTTGTTTGTTTGTTCGTTTGTTCGTTTGTTCGTTTGTTCGTTTGTTCGTTTCTATTTTGCTTTCAAAAAGATTCGAATACAAAAATACGGTACACAAAGTTAACTTTTAGACACTTCTTTCCAAAACTTCTTAAAGTCCGATCACAATTTTGATGCTTTTGTGCGGGCCGACGAAAGTGATGAAATTCTCTTTGCTTTCCCGGGGAAAGAGGCAATGAGCACGTGAAGTTAAAACGAACTGAAATCAAATTGAAATCATACAATCAGATCATTTTCGTTATGTAGAAGACTAAATCATTTCACAAATCATTTTAAAAATCAATGTTTCAAATTTAGGTATTACAAAGACTAGCTCAGATTTTGGCTTCCTATTCTCATCCCGAACTTATTTTTTAGAAAACGCATCAAAAATCGATTTCTTGTGTAAATTAATCTAATCATAATTCTTAATCATTTTTATTTTGTTATTAAAATAGGTTTTATTTGAAGAAACGGCTCAAATCGAATCATTGGACCTTGTCATTTTCGAGCACTTACCGTAAATACTGTAATAGTACCCCACCCACTCGTACAGTCGCGTAGTCGCAAAAGTTTTTCGTCTTCCCTTTTTTTCAAAACACCCGTACTTTCAAAAAATGCGTCTTTGGTATCAAAAAATAACTGAAATTCAGGGCTATTTTTTGATACCTAAGCGCGCATTGTAGCATAAACCAGTGTCGAGAAAAACTCGTTCAAAGCTAGACTACGCAACACTCCGCATGGCCATTATGGGGGTACTATTACAGTATTTACGGTAGCTTCTTGCTAACGAAAAACCTTTAAAACAAAGATTTTCAGAAACTTTCAAAAGTGTTTTTGCAAAAGAAATGAGCTATTTAATAAAAAAACCGTATTTCATTTGATAGCTTGAGACTTATTCAATTAGAAAATGAATTTGGATAAAAGACTCAACCAAAACACAAGTCAGGACCTTCAACTCACTTTGCATTTATGTTTATTGTTGATCTTTTCCGTGCAAATTTTTACAACAGCTTTATGGCTGGCCACTCGAAGGCTTTCAATGTAGCTCTCTTTTGTCAACGGGCTACTGCTTGTCGCAAATGGGTCCAGATTCGAGAAACTGAAGTTTTTGATGAAAAAATGCCACATTTTAGTTCAAATCCGATAGCTATTCAGTTTCAAACTTTTAAAAAAGTACTCAATCACTCACCCATCATAGATTTGCGTGAGTAAATCTTGCCAAAAGCTTTTACTAATTTCATCGTGTTCGCGGAAAAGAAAGAATTGCGCTCCCTCAGTGCTCTGAAAAAATTTATTCGAAAATTAGACTTTATGGTTTTGAATCTCAACTTATAAAGTGCATTCAGCAATGAAATTGATGAAAAACTTTTGGCTGAACACTTTGAAACAAGTTAAAATGTTAACAAAAACCTATTTTATTAGGCTTTTCCAGCAAGTCTTTTCGTTTCTTTTCGTACTTTCGTTAAAAAAATAACAAATTCCCCAATAAGTCTATGATTTTCTCTAAATAAAAAGCGTTTCTTGTTCAATTTCCCATCTTTTAAAGTCAATTTCGGTTCACTTAGAAGCAAATTCTCTTCATAATTGAGCTGATTATACTCTGATTTTGTTCGTTTTGAAACTTGAGAATATTCACCGCTGTAAAATCTTCACTACAAGTATAAAATTGGAAAGAAACTAGGTTTTATCTTAAACAATTGTCAAAGAGCAATTTTTTTTATTGCAGTTTAGCAACGTGGACAGAGATAAAAGACTCTACTACTACTTTTATCCAAATTATCAAGATTTTTAAAGCTTACGTGCATCTTAAAGTTTGGTTTTAAACGGAAGGACCGAAAAGGAACAAAAAACCTTTCTAAACAGCCGAATAAAAGAGATTTTCACGTTCTGAATAGCTTCTTAATTTTCCCATTAAAGCCAAAGATATTCAGTCTTTAGACTGAATCTTTACAATAACTAGTTTTTAAAAAGTACCATTTAGAAACTCACATTTTGTCGAATGATATGCCCATGGTGATGTCCTTCGTGAATCAAAGTGAAACTTTGCTTCTTGCAATCTCCCGATGAATTCGAGTAAAGAATGAAATATTTGTTTAACGGTTTTCCGGTGTCTTTCCTAAAAAAGAAATTTTCTGCTCAAAATTGGTAAACACACCTTATCTAGCGCACACGATTCTCCATTTTCTACTTTATATCACAAGAAAAATCAAGAAAAATCAAATGCATTAAATAAAAAAAGTGAAATTTTTGAATAAGTGGCTTAATAGGAATAGCTTATTTCAAAAAAGACAGCTTATTTCTTTGCGTAAAAATCCTAATAGTGGATTTTTTCGCTATCAAGTGTAAACGCCCTATTTCTAGTGCATTTAATTCTCTATTCATTTTACTTGTGATATCTATGTCAACTTTAAACAGAACATTATTTCAGATGTAAAAAAATCCCTCCAAATTTCCAGAATCTCAAGAGTTTAAAAGGGGTATCCCGGTCCTCAGCGACATCTGATTTTTGTATTTTTTTCTAATGCAAATACAAATACAAATAACGTATTCTCTCTAATAGTATTGCGGTCGAGGAGGGGGTTGAAAAAATAGTAGTGCGCACTACTATTAGAGAGAATACGGTAGTCGGTATACAAATAGTCGTGGTTCTAGGAAATCACTTTTGAGGCCGGAATACCCCTTTAAGCCCCGGACAACCATTTGAGAGAAATCCCTGAACTACAAAAGTAATAGTTTCTGTAAAGGACACTGAGGCATACAAAGATGAGATTTTTGCTTCGCCTCAAACATTATATTCCGTATTTTCTCTAATAGTAGTGTACCCAGAGCGTCGTCTAAATCGCTTGAAATCTCGAGAACCGCTTATCAGAACCTATCGATGCGGGTCGGAAAATGTAGCTGACGATGAGATCTAGTGGGGGATTTGAGTGTTGAGCTTCTGTGAACACTTTGAAACCGTAAAATAGCCACCAACTCGGCTCGCCGGGGTACACTACTATTAGAGAGAATACGGTAATATTTTACCAGAGATTTTACCATAAGTTTCTTTACCAGAGATGTCCATTGAGAACTTTGTAGAAGTACGAAAGATCATCTCGAATTCGGATTCGCCCAACTCGTCGCTCAAATCGTGCACCGAGTCTCTCATCTTCCCATTCGCGAAATGATTGAACTCGAGAGTGGCCACGTCTTTTCGAAGCTAAAAATGTTTACATTTTATCATAAAAAACAGGAAATTCTTTCGGATTTCGGAAAATTTGTGCTACTTTTTGATTAGGTAATAGCCAATTTCTCATTGTCCAGAAAGTCCAGAATTTCCTTTTCGTACTTCTGTTTAAAACCAACAAATGCACCAATTGAACAACGATTTATTTCATCAGAAAGATCAATTATTTTTCTGCAAAATAACATTAAAACGGGTTTAAAATGACTTATGTCTGGATTTTTTTGAGAGCGTGAAGTCCGGTAGTCAAAAAGTCGGCTCGATGATGCGCTTTAGACAATTTTAGCTAAGGAAACCTATCTTCGTGGCAATAGACAAAAGATAGAGCACAAAAAGTTTGGTATATAGCCAAATTTTTGAAGAAATTCATTCACCGAATTTCTTCGTAGAGGTTTTTACAAATTTATACGAAAAACACGATTTTCCCTTTCGATTTTGTTTGAAAGTGAACCGAAATTGACTTAAAAAGATGGAAATTGCACAAGAAACACTTTTTATTTAGAGGAAATCATAGGTTGATTGGTGAATTTGTTATTTTTCGACGAAAGTACGAAAAGGAACGAAAAGACGCTCTGGACAGCCTAATATTTTGATATTAACCACTAAAGTTTAGTTTAATTTTAATTTATTTTTCACTTTTTATTTAGAGAAAACCATAGATTAATTGATGAATTTGTTATTTTTTAGCAAATATTTAACAGTTGCAATAAGTAATCAATTATTTTTTGATTATCCATGCTCAAATAGGCAAGTTTTCGGATTCCAAAATGATAAGTTTCACTTTTTTGAGCCTACAGGAACTGATATCATAGTTAATGTGATGTGAGTGATTTGATGGTTAAAAGTAAAATCGACATTTCCGCTTATTATTCTTATTATTATTATTATTATTATTATTATTATTATTATTATTATTATTATTATTATTATTATTATTATTATTATTAGTATTATTATTATTATTAGTATTATTATTAGTATTATTATTATTATTAGTATTATTATTAGTATTATTATTATTATTATTAGTATTATTAGTATTATTAGTATTAGTATTATTAGTATTATTAGTATTATTATTATTATTATTAGTATTATTATTATTATTAGTATTATTATTATTATTAGTATTATTATTAGTATTATTATTATTATTATTAGTATTATTAGTATTATTAGTATTAGTATTATTAGTATTATTAGTATTATTATTATTAGTATTATTATTATTATTATCATCATCATCATCATCTCTATTATCTCTATATATAAAAAAATAACCTCTCTGTCTGTCTGTGCGCACACTAAGCGCCTTGAGTATTTGAGTATTGAGTACTCAAACTACACCCCTTTGAGTATTTAAAGTATGAGTATTCAGGTGAGGCGTGAGGCGAGCGCGCTATCCCCTGCGCCATAAGTGCAATTTTCACTTTACGCTGAAATTTGCATCGCGCGGCTTTCCAACACGGGAAATTCGTTTCTGGCAATCATTTTTACAATTCCTGCAGCGGATGTTCTGCTGGCTATTATTGTTATTATTATTATTATTACCTTTCTGTCAGTTTCGCGGAAATCCCTCGTCGCGTTCTCCTTTTTCTCGTGCTCTCTTTGCAAGAATTCAGCGTCGAGATCGACTTGATCTTGAGTTTCGCGGAAATGTCGAAGATCCCACTAAATGAAAAACCCATATTCTTTCTGCTTTAGCGGTGTCAAGGAAATTTGTTTCATTTTGGTCAATTTAACATCTCGGAAACTCACCGCCATTTGATAAACATGAATGTAAAGCTCTCGGAAATGCTCATACGCTTGGAAATCAAATTTTTCGTCTCTTCTTTTCTCATATTGCAAAAGTTCTTTGAGATTTCTCTCGTAATAGATTCTCATTTCCTGAAAAAAAAAAACAAATTTTAATCAAAACCTTTCAGCAAAACCTCTGGAATCGAGACGATTTTGTGGTGATCGTAGAGATCTTGAAATCTTCTCCAATAGATTTTATTTGTGTTGAACTTCAAGTACTCCAATTTCTGAGCCATTGTCAGATTGACTGGCACGAGGACTTTCTGGAAAAATTGATTTTAAGTAGAAATGGGAGTTTCTATTCACTCATTTTCTTTTCTTCTAACCCCTTTTCTAAAATGTGTCCCCTTTCTCTTTCTACCGTAATCTTGGGCAAGTAGCAAAAACTCGATCACTCGATCGCTCGATCGCTCGATCAATTTGAATAGTTATAACTGCGTAAGATATTGAGCCAAATGCTGTAATGTTAAATTTTATTCCTTTGCATTACGTTAACACTTGCGAGTTGAATTTCTGGCAAAAGTTACTTCTGGCAAAAGTTCGCGTTTATATGTAATCCTGAATTTGATTTTTTGAATTGGCAATCACGTTTTCCCTTGTAATTTTTTCAAGAACTTCTCATTTTGCGATTACTTCGTTGCAATCGGGTTATTTACCCATCGACTTGATGAGCACACGGTTTTTTAAAATTCTTTTGTTTGATTAACAGCTAGTCTTTAATAATAAAGCTAATTTGAATTTGTTTTTAGACCGAAGTTTTGCTTGCAAATCGTTGTCAGCCCAAAAATTTGAATGCCGATTTCCACCATTGGATTCCGGGACTAAAAACAACGCAAACCAAATAAAGAAAGGGAACCAAGGCGTCAGCTTCTGTTGCTAAAAATATGTCTCGAAATCATCCATTCTCTCTACTTTAATTTGATATCTAAGCGCGCAGAAACTAACATCCTGGTGCTGAAATCTGAGTGTTTCTTTGAGAGGGGAGCTTCTATTAGAGTATTTGCAATAACTATTCAAAATCGAGTTTTCCACTGATTGAGTGATCGAATTTTACTCCTTGCCGTAGTCTTGTCTCCAATTTTTATCCAATCTATTCACTTTTTGTTTGATTCCGTGTGGGTTCACAAAGAATATCGCGAAAGATGCGAAAAGTGGATAAATTGGAAAAATTGGGGACTAGATTACAGCAAAAAGGAGTCACCTTTTAGAAAACGGATTAAAAAAGAGAAACCCCACTTTAATGACTATTGGTTTGAAAGTTTTGCTGGACATTAAAGGATTTTTATAGTAACAATATTAAGCTATAGTTCATATTGAAACTTTAGCCTTTTTTCTCCTTTGTTTTCATAAGAAATTCACCACAAGCCCCAAAGTCACTTATTTCAAGGAATTCAAATCATTGTCAAAATCCTAACAATAGAAAAATCCCAAAGTTCGACCCACCTCAATGAATTTCCTCTCGTGCTCCAAATGTGCCTGATTTTCGATGAAATTCTTGAGATCGCTGTTTTGAAACGAAAGCTGCTCGTTGATATCTCTAAACTTCTTTTAGTCATTCAATTTCCCAAATTCTCCCAAACTTGAAATTTGTCTCCATCGTTTTCTGGAGCAAATGGATCGATCGCCCGAGATATGGGCCCAACTCGTTGTCGTTGAAATATTGCGCTGAGACAAAGTGTTTTATAAAGTTTAATCTAATAACTGTTTAATTTCTTTTGGCTTGTACTAATGACGATTATTTTTTTGTGTTAACTCAAGCTTTTCAAGATTTTCTTATTCATTTCGCAGAAAGTTTTCAAGATTATTATTTTCAAGATATTTTGTCTAACTGTTGATATATTAGCGATTTTTAGATTGAATGTTTCAATGTTTTTGAGGTCAAACCAATTTCGGACTAAATCAATCAAGCCTATTGGCCTGCTTTTCAAGTTATTTCGTTCTTGTACAATTGTTTTTTTGTTCTTTTTCTAAATTCTTGTTCTAATTGTTCTAAATTATTTACTTGCTTGGCAAACATTCCTTTTTTGGCAAACATTCCTTTGGCACCTTAGAAAAACAATTTTTCAACTTTGGGAAAGCCAAGTCATTTCTCAGCAATTCTTGGTGTGTGTGTGTGCGTTGTGTTTAAACCAATAGATTTTTCAAAACTAAAGTGTTTAACACGTTTACGATGATCCGGCCCACATGGGCCGTACTAAAAACGATTATTTTTTGTGTGAACTCTAGCTTTTAAAGCTTTTCTTATTCATTTCGCAGAAAGTTCTTGGTAACTCCTCGTACTAGTTTTCAAGAGGAGGTTCAGAGCTATCGAATGAGTATAAAAGTTTAGTTGATCTTTTGAATATTCACTAAATTATGCGGTAAAAGTGTTAGCGACTACGCGACTGTACGCCCAAAAATGCCGCAAATGTGTTAAAAACACTTTTTTCTAGTTTGTTTCAACTTCGCAAAGCTTAAACCATTCCATTTTTCCCCAATCAGCCCTACAAAGTCATTAACTTTTTGCTAAGTTAATAAAATTAATCATTAACTTCATTAACTTCTTTCAAAACTAACGAATTTTTAAATAAGGAGCTATGTAGCATTTTAAATTGATTTTTTTAAGAAAGTAATTCACAAAGCACAAAAGTTTTTTTGACTTTTCCCAACAATTCCCCATCAACTCACTCGCCAAGTGTTCGGTCAATTTCTTCTCGAAAAGTCTCTCCATTTCAGTCATCAGCTCCAAATTCTCTGCTGTGCTCGTTTCTTTCCACAAATTTGTCTGTAAACTTGTTATTTAAAAATTTGTTAGTTTTTCTACCAAACTGAATTCGGATCCGCTTTGAGCAACATCGAATTGAGATTCGAACTGAAAAATTCATCATAAATTAGTTACAAATTTTCATTCATAAAGTAGTGAAATAGATTGAAACTCATTTTTGAAAAACTTTTAAATTTAAAGCATTTAGTTTTTATTTACTTTTAGCAAGGGGCTTTAAAATTTCTAGTATATTCCGTATCATTTGAAACGGCTTTAAAATTCATACTCAGCAACTTTACGAGCCATTTTTTGAAAAGAACTTTACTGCTAAAAGTCTTTTAGATCTTTTGGATATTATTCAATTTTTGAAAAACCTGTGTTCGAAGCTTTTGCAGCACTCCCGGCTCTTTTTCGTACTTGGCTTGGATGTTTTGCATCGTTGTATCGAAACAGACATCAAATGTCTACACTTTGAATGATTGACTTGAGAATTAGGTAATAATAAATTTGGATTCTATACTCATAAATCTCAAATTTTTGACCCAAAAGCTAGGAAGATTGTATCAAAAAATGTGACTTTGTAAAGATTCTTCCGAAAATCGTCGGTGGTCGCTTTCGAGAAGTTCATCTCGTTTCCCAGCAGCTCAAGACCGGCCATCACCTTGAAAGAATGAAAATAAGAATGGGATACTGTAAAATAAAGAATATTATATAGTATTAGAATAGAATTATCGGATACTTTAAAATAGGATAATCAGCTATTCGGTTTAAACAGTCAAGTTCGAGTTTTCAAAATTCAAAATTGAGATTTCAAGTTTGGGTATGTTCAAACAAAAGGGTTTACGTAATCGTTATGATGATTTCTATTTTCGTTTATTATTTGAAATACAAATACCGTATTTTCTCTAATAGTAGTGCACCCCTAGCGATCCTAGTTGGTGACTATTTCGAGTTTCCAAGCTCTTGCAGAAGCTCAACGCTTTAATCCCCCACTACGTCTTATCGTCAGCTACATTTTCCGACCCAACGTCGATAGGTTCTGATAAGCGGTTCTTGAGACTTCGAGCAATTTAGGCAACGCTCTGGGTGCATTACTATTAGAGAAAATACGGTAACTTGAAATACAAATAATTTGGAGCATTTTCTAAAAGAAAGAAAATATTTGACAAAAAAAGAATCTTCTCATCACGAACTTTTCCTTGAAACGTTTCGATAAGCATTTTGTTCGCCGAAACGCCGTTGAGAACCGAGGACAACTTTTCGCTCCATTCAATGGAAAGACTCTGAAAGTTTTTACAAAATGATCTATCTATTTGAAAAGTGTGTAAACACAACCCTTCTGGTGCACTTGATTTTTGATTTTCTTACAAGCAAAATTAATTAGGTGCACCAGAAAGAAAGTTTACAGTTTTTAGAGTTCAAAGTACAAACCTAAAAAAAACAATGCATTAATGATTCTTAGCTAAAGAAAAAGGCTCTTTATCTTGAAACCATTTTCTTTTTTTTCATTGAGAAATCAATTTACAATTTGCTACAAACGAAAAGCTTCTTTCAAAAGAAACAACCCTTTGTGTAAAGATCACTAGTAAATGTTCTGTGCTTTGCAAACACAACCTTTCTGGCGCATCGATTTTTTCACTTTCTTTTTTTCAGCAAACGATTCATTTCACAAGGAATTTGAAGAATTAAGTACACCAAAAAGTGTGTGTTTACCAAATTTTTCAACACGAAGCACACAAACTATAGCTGACCTCAAATTTCGTTGTTATAGCCCTTCCCAAATCGATAATCAGACTATCATGCGAGGTCCCGTCACCCAAAATTTCAATTCTGAATTGGAAAATTTTTAGAAAATTTTAGAAAAATCGTTTTTCTACCCAGAAATATTATTCGCCAATTGAATCGTCAACCGGCCATTTTGGTAGAGAGCTTCGGCGAGTTTTCTGAAAAATTTTCTTTCAATTCCAGAGTGACTCATTGAATACCTTTGATTTTGTTATAATTTTATTAGAAAAATTGGCTCTTTCGTAGTTTTTGGGTATTTTGAACGGGTCGTCACGCTTTGAAGACCCGTCACTTTGTCCAGAGACAATATCTTTACTAACTTTTTATATTATTGTACAGAGGACATTTCAAGCTTTCAAATGATACCAAATAAAGCTTGATTGAATAATTGAGTCCGCGAAAATCAGAGCCAACTCAGAAAATGAGCCCTATCCAACTCCAGTGTCGTGTCGCCTTGTCTGCATAGGAATGAAAAATCCAATCTGGCTCTATTTTGTATTATTTGAAAGCTTGAGATGTCCTCTGTACAATGATATAAAAAGTTAGCAAAAATATAGTCTTTGAATAAAGTTATAGGCCTTCAAAGCGTGAAGATCCGTTCAAAATACCCAAAAACTACGAAAGAGTCTAAAAGTTTTTCTCCGATTTCTAACCGGTTCGCGTCTTTCGCAAAAGAGACAGGCAATTTTTCAATGGTTCCATTTTGCAGCATACTGCCAATGCTTGATCTGAAATTTCTCATTTCTGAAAGATCAAAGCTTATTTTCAAACCCAAGTTTCAAGTTTGCTAAAAAGAAAATGGAGTTCTAGCATTCTATTTTTTTTAAAAACCCACTTAAGCTTTTGTTTCAAAACCGAATCCAACGTGCGTTTCATTAGCCAATTATTCCGTAATCCGGTGAGTGTCGCGTTCAAATCCTCCCTGGAAAATCGGTGCTTAGGGAGTGCGCCATGAAAAGTGTGTTTACATTTTCTCAAGCCCAAAGTACACCACCTCACCTCAAATCCTGATTCAATCGATTCAGCTTCGGATTCGTGCGAATCGCTGGCTCGGCAAGTTGTGAAGCAATCTAGAATTGAAAAACTAAAACTTGCAAATTTTTTTCTAATAAGTACACTTATTTTTTTGAACCTGTATTTTTTTCTCGGCTGTCACATTTTTCGAGAGCATCACCCCGACTGTGGTTTGAGCCTGAATTTAGGCAAATCAAAGCAAAAAATTCTAAGAAAGCAAATGAAAGCAACAAAAAATTCTAAGAAAATTTGATACTTATCGGTTATATCCCAAAAAAAAACTCGTCAAAATCCTTCAGCGAAAAATCGGTTATATCCTCGCAAAATTTGTGTTTTGACTTGATTTGCATTTGTTTTTGACTTAAAAAAACCCAAGCAAAGAAGAATCTACAGGCAGCAAATCTCAATTTTGCTAAATTTAGCGCTTAGCATTTAGCATTAAGCAAAATTTCTAAATGCTCAATTGATAAATCGATTTTGCAAAATGCTTCTTGTAAACTGAATATTTTGATGCCGCTACATAAAGCCAACATTTTGAATGCCAAAATGCTAGATGAAAAATGGAAAATACAGTCGACTCTGTATGACGGGATGAAAGGGACTAAAAAAAATTTTCCATTATATATAGCTTGGCGTCGAGACCAAAATTCCATTTCGTTATATAGAGCTTTCCGCTATATCTAGTCTTACTGTACTATTTTTTGGTTTTCTTTCTTTTCTGTGAAAGTATTCTAGCAATATTTTATATGCCGCTATGATTGTCTGATTCGCTTCTATTTTATGATTATCTGATTCGCCCCCTGAATAAAGCATATATATAGAGTTCCGTTATAGAGAAAGTCGACTGTAGTTTGGTGAACTCACGCCCGGGATCCTCGACCAAATTTCCGTTTTCTACCCACCCATGACTGGGTGATTATTGTTTTTTTTGGGAAAATGCAAAATTTTGTGGGAATATAACCGATATACCGAAAATTCTCACCTTGTTGTCATCGAAGAAATCGTAGACTTTCTTGCCCAATTCGGCTAACTGAAAACGAAAATTTAAACTATTTAACGATTTGGAACGAACTTTTTTTGTTAGTCTTACGAATTTGAAGATATTTAGTCAAATCTCTTTGACCTCTAGATCTCTAGAAATGATTTCGAATCGAATCTTTGAAGAATCAAATTTAGCGCATTCTTTTAGTAAAACTAAATCCTGAGAAACCGAGACTTTGCTTCAACTTTTAACTATTTAAACTGAATTAAATTCACCGAATCTAGCTCTTTTTCCCCAATCAAATTTAGCCTATTTAATTCGAAAAAAGTTTTAGTTTAAGATTTCAAAGTTCTAAACGATTTAAATGGAATTTAATGGGTATGGGAAATGGAAATGGGTATTGAATTTAAAATGGTGATGGTGATTGGGGAAATTCTTAAAACTCTACGAATTCAAAGCTTTCGAAGATTTTTTGCTATTTGGACAAACCTCATTCAACGCCGAGATCGAGTTAAGGAAACCATTTGCCGATTTGGTGAAGAAGAAAATGAATAAGAATAGAGGAATTGATAGATTCATGACGATGCTAGCTAATTGCTAAACGATCTTTGCTAAATGATAACGATGCTAAACGATGTTTCGATTTCTGAAGTTACATTAACGTAAACACCAAGAGGAAATCAATATTTAACCAATCCAATTGCAATCGAAAATCTCAAGTTTCAAGGAACTTAGCTGAAGACGTTCTTTGAAAAGCTAATAAGTAAAAACAAATTTTCAAAAAAAAACTATAAAAAAAGGATGTTTTTCTATGAAGAAAATAGCAATTTAACTAAGCTTTTGTTTTCTTTAAAAGTAAAAATGTGCACACAAACTTTTAGAGGCAATTTTTATGCTTTACTGATAAGAAAGTTTTTTCGGAAGCGGAAAAAGAAACGTTTTTATTTCCTGAAATGAATAAGCTTATGGGAAATCAAAAAAAAGAATGATTATCAGCTTTAATTTTCGACAAAAAAATCAGGCAAAAAAATTTGAGCTGAAGTGGTTCTTTTAAATTTTTGTAAAATTTTGTTAAAACTTTATCAAGTCTTGGATCATGAACATTTCTGGATGAAAGTTGGTTTCAAATTTGAAAAGGTTAGAATAAAGTGAAAAGATATAATTGTCATTTTTCCCCACTTTTGAATGAGTAAGAAATTTTGTTGAGAAATATTTTTCAAAGGCTTATGTCAGTTGGCTTTTTTTTACTTTACACTTTTTAGGTGAAAAATCAATGTGACTAGGAAACTATTCCAAATTGGAAACGAAAGAGTTTGAAAGCTTAAGAGTTTAGAAGCGAAAGAGTTCAAAAGTGTTTATCTGACTCAACTTTTCTTTCAACTTTGACAACAACAATCAAAATCGAAAAGCAATAGTTTCTTAGCGCCTTTCTTAACTAATGCTCTAATGCTAGTTAGTCAGGATTTGTTTCAATTACTCAACAAAATCTCTCCGCTTTGAAGAAATCTCCTTTGGGACAAAGCCCATTGGTTGAGCTTTGTCCCACGTTAAGTTGAATCAATTCTCTAATTGCTTCAACTTAACGTCGACTTGGAATATGAGATCTAGCCCAGAACGATTCTAATTTCTAATTTCACGCCACCTGGAAATTCTAAAGGATACATGTTTTTCAGTTTTACTCCATAGCATCCAGTTTTCGAGAAAAATACTTTTGAAGTTTGAGCACAGTTTGAGCACGGAAAAACGACGCCGCCGCGGTATGACACCGAATTACTTATCCTCCGAAAAGTCTTCGAATGGTGTAGCGGATAGTGTACGTTTTTTTCCTTTCCCGCTTTTCCTTCCTTGTTCGAATCCCCTCACTATCAAAACCTTTTTACTTCTCTGTTAAAGCACTAAAATCAATTTTTAAGTCTTTTAAAGTGTCTATAAATAGTAAGAAGCTAAAGATGGCTTCTGGAAATGGCAAAAGATGGTTCTTCCCTCTTTGAAAATGTACCGTATTCAAAATTGTGAGCCTCAATCTTTATGGAGCTTCAAATTTCTCTCTCGAACAAACAGTTTTTCGCTCTAAATTTCTTTTCTTTATATCCAATCTTTCTAATCTAAAATTTTAACATAATTATCTATACTTTTGCGTCGAATGATAATAAACACTTGATGGTTAGACGCGCCTGGACCCACTCATTAAAAATCGGCTGAATTTCAAACTCGGGGTTCTGCCGATTTTGAATGAAACGCTGTAGTGCCCGCAATTTTGAACCTAAGATTTTGAACTTTGAACGAATGAACGGCTAGCCGCCGTTCATTCGTTAAGAACTGAATGAAAACGACTACGACATATATAAGAGAAACAAGGCACTCGATTCAACAATTGATTTGATTTTCAAACAGACAAAAAATTCCAAGTTTATATCATAATAGACTTATAATACGGTAATCATTACATTCGTATCGATATCAATAACATTGATCAATATCAATAAAATCGATCAAGACGATCATTGCATTGATCAGTAACAATAAAATATCAATACCAATTTTACGAGTATGTAAAATTTTAGTCTCTATTTATTTTGTTAAAATTGAGTCACTTCAGCTGAAGAAATCTCTTATTTTTTACCTGAAGCCAACTCTGATTTTTTTGTCAAAAGCTTTTTGAAATATAGTCAAGTTTATCAAAAAATCTAGGAATGGCTTGGTTTTTGAGAAATCACCGTGCAAACATTTTCCGAGAACGTTCTTTCGAACCTAATAATTTGGAACCTTTATCAAGTTAGAACCGCAAAGATCAGGGGTTATTTTTGTGGATGTATAACGGAAAGGAACCGCGAAATGTTTCTGAATAAAACTTTGACTTGCAAGGTTTTCTGTAATTTTCAGGATCAGGAAGCAAGTCGCTGTTCTATCGGCAGACTATGTGAATGCTTGGCTGGAATCACAGGCCCGGTCACAGGACAACTACTATATGAGAACGGGTTTCGTTGACTTTGGAGACGATAACTCTGCCCTGGAATTTGCGAACTATGTGGTATTTGTATTTCGTGGTGGCTTTTCGAACAGATCAAAGCCTGATGCAAAAGAAGCAATCAGGTCAGACGAGTATTTATTAGGCTGGCTAATAAGTAATGGTGGATTTGCTGGGAGCTGGTCTCAAACTTAACCAATCTACAATACTTTGTTTTAGTCGTTACTTTCAAGATGATTTCAAACGGATAGAACGACACAACGGGATCCAATTGCTAGCGGACCGTGCAGCGACTTATGGTGGTAAATGGCAAGGACGTATCGACATTGTCACTGTTTTTCGAAAAGGAGCAAATCACAAAACGTGCACTTATCTCTATGGAGCCTTTGGTGACTGGATGATTACTGAGGTGAAGACATGGAGTCGGCCATGTGCAGCTGGATGTGGAGATGTTTGTGTTGTGCATTTAATGGCTTAATGTCGTTTAAATAAATGAGTCCATGAAAAAGATTCCAAGTAACGCAAGAAAACAGGAAAAAGAAATGCGGTCTTAAAACAAAGTCCCTAAATTTTAAAATGACTTTTCATGTAGTTGACATTTTAAAATTGAACAATAGTTGATTACATTCACATCTTTAAAATAGTTTTTTGAATTTGATTTCATTAATTCCATTTAGATTCCTTTAAAACTTAAAAATTCCTTTAAAATAACCAGCAAAATCACAAAATGAGCAATGAAAATCTTTGTGCTTCTTCTTTTGACTTCATGCCTATTTATTTCAATAGTTCAAGTAATTTGGAGTAAGTTGGAGTTGGAGTACTATAGTAAGTAGTTTGGGTATAAAAGTATTCTAGCACCTTAGTTTAATAACGTCTATTTTAAAATTCATCGTTTCTAGATTTTTGCTAATTTTTAATCATAGATCTTTAAGAACCACTTTAACTGAAGAGAACCGGTTCCTTAATGTTCCTGATGATAATTTGGCAAGATCTACTTGTCATCTACTATTCACAGTAGGCGCCCCATGGTGTCCGGAGCTATTAAAAACAAAAGCTCAGTAAACACAAGCACTTGCGGGTGAAGCTCTCAGAAAAAAAAGATCCCAATCACTATTACAATTTGAGCAAGTTCCAGTCAAAATTTTCGTTGCTAACTTCAAGAAAAATTCTTCCTTTATCAACTTTACAGTATCTTTTCCCACCAGCATCACCATCACGGTGATTTCGATTCATAAATACGATTCCTTATCCATAAAATTTGCGAAAATTCACATGAAAGCTGAATCTTTTAAGCATGAAAAGCCACCGATTTCAATTGAGAATCATTCACAGGATTCGTTTAAGTTTTTGTTTTTGTTCTATTTTGTGTCGCTATAAAGTAATGATTATTATTTTTTGTTTTATCGAATTACATTCAAACCTTATTCATGCGATCGTTGTTCTCGATGTTGTTGCAAAAAAGAAAACAAAAAAGTCTTTTTGATAAAATAGGAGTCACAGTAAAGAATAAATGTTTAAAATAAAAAAATAAAAAATTGTGTACACAACAACTAACAGAAACTCATTATTAAAGTGAAAAAAATGATAGAATCCATTCTCTGATTTCTTTTGTCTTTATTCGATACTTGTCGGTTATATACTACTGGACAATGAAATATCATATTTGAAAAAAGATCGTCACTTTCGCGCGTCTGTAACTCCCTTGTCTTTACCGTATTTCTAAATATTAATATTATTATTGTGTAGCCCTTGAAAAGAGCTTTCAGAAAATGTATAACACTAATAGTTTAAACTCAAAGACAAGGGAGTTACAGATGCGCGAAAGTGACGATCGTTTTTCAAGTAAGATATTTCATTGTCCAGTACTGTATCTAGCTAATCTTGTCTTCTGAAAGGCACCAATTTTAGACAAACTACCATAATCCAGCCGCCAGTTTTCATTCGACCAATATTGAGCGATTGTGGGACATTTGACAAGGGAGTTACAGACGCGCGAAAGTGACGATCGTTTTTCAAATATCATATTTCATTGTCCAGTACTGTACATCCACACAGATTCATCTCGGATAAGCAAGGAGCTAACAACTTTTAAGGGGTGATTACGTTCGGTGAAGTACAGTGCTCGCCTGAAGTGATCAGTCGATCAGTCGAACGAAAATGGACAACCGAGAAGAGTCGGATGGGGATGCTTCACCGAGATGAGTCTTTGTGGATGTATAACCGACAAGTACCCTTTATTCAATACCAGCAGAAAACGCTCACTAACGTCCACGTTTTCCACACAATCTAAGTCCCGCCCCTTTTTGCCAATGGCCGCGTACAGAGGGGCGAGCGGAAAAACGTCTCTTCTGCTTTATATATACTACCGTATTTATTCTAATTGAAGCACAGTCTCCAATAGAAGCAATTTTAGGAAAAGGGTTGAAAAATAGAAGCAAATGTACTTCTATTTTTCATCTACCGTATTGAACCTATTCAACCGTTTTTCACCTACCGTATTCAACCTACCGTATTCTAATAAAAGCAAATGTGCTTCTATTAGAATACGGTAGGTTCTGTAAAAGAAAGCTCGGTTTTTTGTAAACATTAAATTCAATCAAAATTTCTTTAGGTAACAATTTATTCCAAAAAATAAGCCTCATGGTTATCTATGGTTATCTATAACATCCCTCCAACGTTGTTCAGATTGCGGATCCCCTTATCGAAGAACTCTTAATTCTGTGATTGAAAGTAGTCGTTCATCTGAAGAGAAATAGTGATAGCCGGTGTGAAAAATGATAATCTGATAAAAACTGATAAAAATTTGAGTGTAATTCATGTCACCCACTAAAATGCAAAATTCAAATTTGCATTTTAGTGGGTGTCATAAATCTCCATTTAATTTTTGCCAAATGACGCAAGATTGAAGTCAAACCCCACATTTCGTATTCTTTATTCTATTCGGCTATGGTTGATTTTCTCTTTCTGTTGCGCTTGCTGGCAATAAGCGGAACAATCATTGTCGGTTTTCTCACTTCCACCATACTGGGAATAAGCATAAATATTTATATTGTCACCTTAACAATGCGAGTTCAGGGAGTTCAGGGAATTTCAGGGAACAGATGGAAAAGACAATCTTGGGCATATCTGTAAAAAGAAAGAATTCAATGGGAAACGCGTTTTATTTTTACCGTCTCTGTAGAGCACAACCCAATTCTCGAGCATGATCAATTCCGCGTTTCGGCCACAATTTTCACTCGCACAGTAAACACATCAGAACGAGTCCAAGAACGTTCCTACATTCTACTACTTCTTCTACAGAGCTTCTTTTACTAGAAAAATGTCCTCAATTGAAGCGCCATTCTCGGCAATGATATTCGTCAGTTCGGAGATCCCACCAGGACGATCTGATACATTCACCTAAAAATAAGAAACAAATGTAAAATAGCGATTTAAAAAACCTTGAAGCGCACAAGACGATTATCCCAAACCATTCCTTGAAAAGAAAATAGATTTAACAAAACAACAAACCAGAAAAAAAACCTCGTTCCATTACGCGTCCCAATTGGGTTGTATCGATATTGCCTCCACCAAGTACAGTCAACTTAATGACAAGTTTTGCAAACAAGCACCCACAAATCAAACCTTTTTCCCTTTAAATTGATTGAGTTTCCCTAACAACAATGCTCCGACTCCACAAGCTCCAGCCCCTTCGATCACAATCTGTAAGCTTTATATTAAAAATTTATTGAAGAAAACAAACCTTTTCCAATTCAACAAGGCGCAAGATGGCCAAACCGATCGCTTTTTCATCGACAACTATCCCATCATCAACTTTGTCTAAGAATAGTATATGGGTATACGAACTGTTATAAAAGTCAAAACTAACCTTTAGCTGTAGCAAAAGCATTAACACCGCTTACAGATACAGCTAAGCCATCGGCGAGAGTCGGTAAAACGGAGGTTTCGATTGGATGACCAACTTGAAGAGCGTTCTAAATATCCCCTTATAAGTAAACATTTTAGGGTTCCCATCACCTTGAATGATGGACAACGATCAGCTTCAACGGAGATAATTTTCACATCGGAACGTAATCCTTTAATAGCAGTAGCCACTCCTGCAACAAGTCCTCCACCACCTGCCGGCAAAACTACAGCATCAACGTCAGGAACCTAATCACAAAGTAATCTCAAATATCAAACGACTATTACCTGTTCAATTATTTCCAAGCCAACCGTTCCAGCGCCAGCAATAACATCCTTATGATCATAGCTAAATATTGCTGACTTGTATACTAAATTAAAAACACTCACCCATTAATGTACTTTCCACCTTCATCTAAGCTTTTGCCCAATGCAATTAGCCGGCTTTCAGATAGGTTTTTCCCCTAAAACTCACGTGAAAAGATACAAAAAAGCGCTTCTACCTGAACAATGACGTTCCCCCCCCCCCCAACTTCTTGCAATGAGCAATCTTTTTAATTGGTGCATGTCGAGGCACCTAATCAAAGCATACCAATTATTTAAACATTTTACTTACCGTAACGGGGATACCCAATTGTTTTCCATGCATGCAGAGTGCTTGTGCGTGATTACCAGCTGAGGCAGCATCAACCTCAAACGAAGAAAATTCAGCAGACACCACAAATTTTACTCCAAAATACTAAAATACCTAAACCAAAATAACTGTTTTTTCAAAAAAGAAAAAAACTCACGGCCATTTGTGGGATGACGGTCTATCGACTTTGAGATTATGACCACTTTCCAAATAAAAACTAAAACCATTCTTAGAAAAATTGAACGAAGCCCACTTTGTGACACTGTTGCAGTCAATGGCTTCAGGTGGAGGCAGGTTTACAGAATTCACGGACTAAATTTGTTAAGATTATCAAAAAAGTGGCTTCTAGTCGTTACTAAATCGTTGGGTTGTTGCCGAGTGGGATGTGTGTGTTTCCCTCTGTTTTGACTTGGTTGGTGCGACTGTTGTTGCGTTGTGGTGGTTGCAGTGTCCCAACGTGATTGTCGTGTATTATTCCCCTTGCTGTGTCCGAGCGAGTTGTTATCTGGTTGAATTTTGGCTGTCACAACCTCCACAGTAACCGGGCCGCCGTTTTTAACGCTAAATTGATCAAGTAAACACAAAATGGATAAAAAGTACGGCACCATCATTCGCCGTCTTCAGATTTACTGAGCAATCGTGCATCTTCCTAAAGCTTTTAGAAATAACTTTCTTTAAACAAAAGATTCTTTACGTCTTAGATGAGTTTACCGATAGATCGAATTTCTTCCTAAAAATAAGCAATTTGTTTTCCAAAAAAATACTCCTCACATCTTGGGTAGATTCTGCTTAACCAATGGATTTATTCCTCCAATCGACTCGAGATCAGTTTTCTAAAAAAGCAGCCATTTTTGAAGATTTAAGTAATAAGCAACCTCTTCTTTCAATTCTTCCTCAACCCTTTTCGGTGCCAAATCCCATTCTAAATTTTCATATCAAAAATAAAATCAAGAATCAAACGTTGTGCGAGGTTTGCTTGAGGTCGGCATTGGAGAATCTTTTGATTTTCACGAGTCGACCGTTCTGGCTTTGCAAGAGATGGGTTGCTACCCTAAAATTACAAAGGAATTAACAAATACAAAGTTCTTAGTTCAAATAGTATCCTTCACGTGAAATTCAAGCAAAATAAAATTTGACCCCTCTATGTGCAGATTGAGATTTTGAGACGGATCGTCCGCCAATCGGCTTTGTAGAGGTTTTGTTAGTTCTCTTGCAAACTAAAATATTCAAAGTTAACGTTGATAAATCCGGTAACAAAAAGAAACAACTTACATATGAGTATGGTGGAAGTGAGAAAACCGACAATGATTGTTCCGCTTATTGGCAGTAAGCGCAACAGAAAGAGAAAATCAACCATAGCCGAATAGAATAAAGAATACGAAATGTGAGGTTTGACTCCAATCTTGCGTCATTTGGCAAAAATTAAATGGAGACACCCACTAAAATGCAAATTTGAATTTTTCAAGTTTGCATTTTAGTGGGTGACATGAATTACACCCAAATTTTTATCAGCTTTTATCAGATTATCATTTTTCACACTGGCTATCACTATTTAGAGTGCCTATTAAACGGCTTTAGTTCCAGAGTCAGAAACACCCAAATCTTTGAAAATAATGATCTCTCCGTTTGTGAATGAAATGTTTACCCTCGATCTCCCCAAGTCTTTGTGTTCGCGCGGATAGAGAATTTGTGCTAAACGTAGGGAGAGATATCTGCTTAACTGTTGTATTTCACTACAAACAAACAATGCTTGAGTTTCTCGTAGAAATTGCGCATTTTACTGTTTATACTCTGTCATTATCCCTTTGCTTTTCATTATTCATTTTAGAATAGAGATTCTTAACGCACTTTTCAATCAGCTATCAAAATTTTACACAAATTCCCCAATCCTTTTAAGTTACAATTCGTTTCCCCGTCTTTTTCCTTTTTCGTTCTCTTAGAAATCTACCAAATCATCCAAATTTCCTTCTTGGCGATTTTAATTTTCCTTTTACTGTTTCTCTAGGACTTTTACCTAATTTATCGCGCTTTCCACATTTAGAAAACTTCCTGTCAGCCAACAGCTTAGAAATTTTAAACAAATTCCCTACTTTCAGGAAAAGTTCGCATATTTTAGATTTAGTTTTAACCGATTCCCCTCATTTAATTTCAGCTATTTCACCATGTCCTCCCATTGGTGGTGCCGACCATTTTTCTATGTCTTTTAATTTAATTCTGCATCATTTTACCTCTCTAACCTTTTCAAATTTGAAACAAAATTTCATCCAGAAATGTTTATGATTCAAGACTTGATAAAGTTTTAATAAAATTTTACAAAAAATTACAAAATATTTTTGCAAAAACCATTTTGGCTTAAAAACATCTGCTTTTATGTCGAAAATTAAAGCTGATAATCATTTTTTTTTGATTTCCCATAAGCTTATTCATTTCAGGAAATAAAAACGTTTCTTTTTCCGCTTCCGAAAAAACTTTCTTATCAGTAAGGCTTGTATGCCTGCCTCTAAAAGTTTGTGTGAACATTTTTACTTTAAAAAAACAAAAGCTTAGTTAAATTCCTATTTTCTTCATAGAAAAACATCCTATTCTATAGTTTTTTTTTGAAAATTTGTTTTTTTATCTATTAACTTTTCGAAGAAGATCTTGAACCCATTTTCTTTGAAACTTGAGATTTTCAATTGCGATTAGATTGGTTAAATATTGATTTCCTCTTGGTGTTTACATTAATCTAACTTCAGAAATCGAAACATCGTTTAGCATCATCATCGTTTAGCAAAGATCGTTTAGCAAAGATCGTTTAGCAATTAGCTGGCATCGTCATGAATCTATCAATTCCTCTATTCTTATTCATTTTCTTCTTCACCGAATCGGCAAATGGTTTCCTTAACTCGATCTCGGCGTTGAAGGAGGTTTGTCCAAATAGCAAAAAAATATTCGAAAGCTTTGAATTCGTAGAGATTTGTTTAGTTTTAAGAATTTCCCCAATCACCATCACCACTTGAAATTCAATACCCATTTCCATTTCCCATACCCATTAAATCCCATTTAAATCGTTTAGAACTTTGAAATCTTAAACTAAAACTTTTTTCGAATTATTAGGTTGGTAAAAAAGAAATGCGCGTTTTCATTAAAAGTTTATTTTATTGTAAAAACAAGATAACAATACATTAATCCAAAAGGTGTTCGCCATCTGCATCAATGACTTGTCGCCAACGTTCACGCAGAGAATGGATGCCCTTCTTGAAGAACTCTACCGGCTGCGACTCGAAGAAGTTGGACACCCAAATTTGGACCTCGTCGCGATTCTTGAACTTTTTCTCGGGCAAGGAATGGTGCATTGATCGGAACAAATGGTAGTCGAAAGGCGCCAAGTCTGGGCTGTATGGCGGGTAAGGCAGGACTTCCCAGCCCATTTCTTCAATTTTCTGCTGGGTGATTTTTGCGACATGCGGCCGAGCGTTGTCGTGGAGGAATTTTGTCGACGCCGTATCCACACCTTGAAGTCGCAGCGCCTGGTCCACGCGGCCCAATTGGCCTTGGTAGAGGTTTGCCGTAACTGTTGGACCCGAATCCAGAACCTCAAAGTACCCCAGGCCTTTACTGTTCCACCAAACACAAAGCATCACCTTTTTTCCGTAAATGTCCGGTTTTGGAGCTTCACCTGGGTCCAACCACTTCCGCTTTCTTGCTGTGTTGTCGTATTGAATCCACTTCTCATCCGACGTAACAATGGAGTCGAAAAACCCACTGTTCTTGGCGCGGTGAGTGCGAATCCCGGCGATTGCGATCAGTGTCGCCTTGTTTGCGTCGGATAGCTTATGCGGTACCCATTTTCCGCATCTATTCGTCTTGCCCATGCCATGCAGATGGTTCTCAATGGTGACATGAGTGCAGCCGAGCTGTTCTGCCAGGTCGCGAGTGATTTGGCGTGGATCCGACTCAATGGCTTCCTTCAATGCGTCGTTGTCGATGATTTGAGGTCGACTCCCGTGTTTTTGGTCTTCCAAGCTTTCGTCCCCGTCTCGGAAGCGCTGGAACCATCGTTTACACTGACTTTCGGATAGAGCATCCTCGTCAAACACTTGAGATAGAGCGCGATGAGCTTTAGCAGCCGATTTGCCCTGCTTAAATTCATACCACAAGCAGGCCCGCAAGCGAAATTTTTGGTCCGACATTTTCTAAACACTCTTTCTTGTAAAAAACAAAATAAACATAGACAGATAATATATCAAACGATGCGCAAGAACACGCCCTTTCCAATGGAATAAACTATTTTTAAAAATCTTTTACTGTGAATAAAATACAAATCAACAAACACGACGCTCATTTCTTTTTTACCAACCTAATAAATAGGCTAAATTTGATTGGGGAAAAAGAGCTAGATTCGGTGAATTTAATTCAATTTGAATAGTTAAAAGTTGAAGCAAAGTCTCGGTTTCTCAGGATTTAGTTTTACTAAAAGAATGCGCTAAACTCGATTCTTCAAAGATTCGATTCGAAATCATTTCTAGAGATCTAGAGGTCAAAGAGATTTGACTAAATATCTTCAAATTCGTAAGACTAACAAAGTCTAGAAAGTCTACGATTTGTTCGATGACAGCAAGGTGAGAATTTTCGGTATATCGGTTATATTCCCACAAAATTTTGTATTTTCCCAAAAAAAAACAATAACCATCCAGTCATGGGTGGGTAGAAAACGGAAATTTGCTCGAGGATCCTGGGCGTGAGTTCACCAAACTACAGTTGACTTTCTCTATAACGGAACTCTATATATGCTTTATTCAGGGGGCGAATCAGACAATCATAGCCGCATATAAAATATTGCTAGAATACTTTCACAAAAAAGAAAGAAAACCAAAAAATAGTACAGTAAGGCTATTTTGGAAATGGAATTTTGGTCCCGACGCCAAGCTTTATATAATAGAAAAAAATTTTTAGTCCCTTTCATCCCGTTATAGAGAGAGTCGACTGTAATTTCCATTTTTCATCTAGCATTTTGACATTCAATATGTTGGCTTTATTTAGCGGCATCAAAATATTCAGTTTACAAGAAGCGTTTTGCAAGTTCGATTTATCAATTGAGCATTTAGAAATTTTGCTTAATGCTAAATGCTAAGCGCTAAATTTAGCAAAATTGAGATTTGCTGCCTGTAGATTCTTCTTTGCTTGGGTTTTTTTAAGTCAAAAACAAATGCAAATCAAGTCAAAACACAAATTTTGCGAGGATATAACCGATTTTTCGCTGAAGGATTTTGACGAGTTTTTTCTAAAATGCAATTTTTTTTGGATATTACCGATAAGTATCAAGTTTTCTTAGAGTTTTTGCTTTCATTTGCTTTCTTAGAATTTTTGCTGCTTTCATTCGCGTAAGTTCAGGCTCAAACCACAGTCGGGGTGATGCTCTCAAAAAATGTGCCAGCTGAGAAAAAGATACAGGTTTCAAAAAAATCAGTATACTTATTAGAAAAAAATTTACAAGTAATGGTTTTTCAATTCTAGATTGCTTCACAACTTGCCGGGCCAGCGATTCGCACAAATCCAAAGCTGAATCGATTGAATCAGGATTTGAGGTGAGGCGGTGTACTTTGGGCTTGAGAAAATGTAAACACAAATGTAAACACACACAAAACACACGCGCACTCCCTAAG